TCTCTCTACGAAGAGGGTGCTGGCAGTTTCTTGCCCTCCTCCTTTCTCTCTCTCTCTCTCTCTCTCTCTCTAATTCTCTCTCCTGAACTCTCCCTCTGAAATTCGGATAAATACCATAATAAGTCCCATAGTCATCGGTGCACAGCAGAGGGGGCCGTCTTTTGCTCTGTCGCACTCTCTCTCTCTTGTTTGTGTGCTGCTCTCTCTCTAACTCTTTGTATTTGTGTTGCTTTCTCTCTCTTTCGTAACAGACATTTGGCTGATTTCTTATGAAATTCGGTTCGACACATTGTTGTAGCCATGGAAATAGAGTGGTGATGTTGCAGATGCATTTCCATTTTGTTAGTAGGGTAGGATTTTGGTTTCAAGGTTTAACATTCTGTTACAGTACTGATGTTCCACGCTAGCAACAATATTGTTGCTAGGATTTTTTCTCGTCAGATTTCGTCTCCCCGCTCAGGCACAAGCGTATGCTCTCTCTCTCTCTCTCTCTCTCTCTCTCTATTTGGGTCCTTCTGTTGTTTTTGTTTGTCACTGTTTTTATCATATTGATTTTGCTCTCTCTTTACTTGGGTACTTTTTGTTGTTTTTCTTTTGTAATTGGTTGATTTCGCTTTCTTTGCTTTTTGGAAGAAATCCAGATTTATGATGGCGCTTCACATTGTTGGGAATTTCTTTTGTGCTTCATCTTTATTTGTACTTTTCTTCCTTGTAGTTAATCTATGTCCTGAATGTTAGTATACGAGTATAGTATTCAGAATGGATTCTGTGTTGTTTTATAGCATGCCTAGATGGTTCTCTTTTCATTATACATATTTATTTATCTATGCAGATCCTAGCTAGAATTGCGCTGGCTGAAGAATGCAATTATCTATTAGTCTGATTATCTATTTATCCCCCCAACCCCTCAGAAGAAGAATTTATTGGATTATTTATTTATTTATTTTTGTGGGTTGTTGTTGGTTAGTGGTAATTAATTGCACTTAAGTTATTTCATGATTTCATCGGCTCTGAGAAAAATTAAATTTGCATTACTTTTACCCTTAACGACAGATATAGGTTGACTATAAAACTAAAAGCAGAAATAGTTTGATGTTTAATAAATTTGTATTAGGTCCTCATTCTTTTGGTGGTTATGTTAAGCGTTGAGTTGAGATTACTCTCTGTTTGATGAATTATGAAATGGTTATCTTACGGCAACTGATATGTACCATATTGGAATTTTCCATTAAATTTAATGTGCGTAGGTTTAGTGAAGGATATATGACTTTTAAGTGTTTATGGGTATTATCACATGCATTATATCTCTGGGGAAGTCGGGGTTTGGCACTTGTTCTAATATAGTATGGAAGAATGAGGTGGAAGTGCACAGAGTGCTGATGAGGGAGGGATGTGCAAAGTGTAGATGTTTTCGGTTGCACACAGTCTAAACTATATTTTCTCAATCTATGTTATGGTGTTTTAACTCCATGATTGTTTTTACATTTGGATTTCCCTTGGGGATGACGCCGCAATTGTGGTTTCTAGGTGCCATGAACCCTTTGAATATTTGCAATCTGCCACCTCCCCTCTCCTACATGGTGTTCTATTAAGTTGTAGCCCGAAAGAAGAAAAGAAATATTGAGACTGAGTTTCATATTTTGGATAACATACTTGAGAGATGAAATATGATATTTTCCTCTTTCCTTTTTTCTCTAATAAATTTAGGATTAATTGGATAGCTTGAGAAATTCAAGGATGCAGTTACTGTTTTAGTTGGTTGGAGGTTTCTCGTCTCCATGGGGGAGCTACTGATATGTCTAATTGTTTGACAAATTCATATGTGCCCTAACCCTTACTTCAGTCCATGCTGTAGAGTTCCTTTCCTTTGTGACATGCTTTGGCATTTCTATTTCTTCTATCGGTATAATAAATTAATAACTTTCTTATCAGAAAGCAATATAGCACTTTGAAAACTTTTACTGATTACTAAATAGGATGTTACTGTGACAAATGCATTGCATAAGGAAGTTTAATCGTAGAATTAGTTGCTTCAAATATGATGCTCCTCACTATTTTAGAAGGACAGTTTGGCATAGAAGATCCAACTAGTAGGAGTTTCTTTTTTAGCAAGACAATTCTAGTATATTACATCATTCGAAAAATAAATCCTGCATACTGTTTTCATCCAATCATTATACTGATATTTCTAGGTGTTGTTTCCCTAAAAATGATGGATGCATAGAGGGCCGTTTGTTTTTTATTCTGTTGAGATTTACGCATGAAAACTTGCAAACTACGAAGCATCAATAATATGGTATATCATTAACCATTAGCTCACATTTTTCTGATTGTGTTTTGATAGATTTCAAGAGTCCTTATTGTTATTAACTGGTGGTGTTGTTCAGTAAAATTTCAGAACTTAACCAGATTACTGTGGATGACAGGTACACAGGTCCAGACAATTTTATGAGAACTTGGTCCCAAGTTATACCATCTATGATGTTGATTGTCCAGACTATTCCTTCCGTAAATTCACTGATGATGGCCAGTATTTGATAAGTTTCAGTAGGAATAATCAGGAATTGATAGTTTATCGACCAACATGGTTGTCATATTCATGCAAGGGAGATGATTGTGAATCACATGGTCTGCCCCCTGAAGCAAAGAGGTTTGAGAGCTATTTCACCCAGCTCTATTGCATCAACCTTGCATCTGGAAATGAGTCGATTAGCAAAGACTTTTTTCTATATATGGAAAGCAACCACTTTGGTGTATTTGCCACTTCAACTTCCCAGATTCTTGATGCACCTGTCACTGAAGGAGCAATTCATGGAGTCCCCGTAATAGAGAAGATAACACTTCACCTTGTGAGGTTTGTTTTATTACGTGATGACTTCTTGTGTGCACTCATGTGATTTTGCATAGACATATATGTCAAGTTAATTAAAAAAAAAAAAATGTTACATGGGCCACTTGTTTTGGGGTTTCTGACTAGCTTGTAAGCATCGGGTGGGTGCTTGAGATTTCAAGCAGGAAATAAATTAAGAAGTTTAGAAAAATATTAAGAAAATATTATGGAGGAATATATATTTATATGCTATATGGTTTGTCTTTTGTATTGTTGTATAAACTTTTGATAAGTCATAGTAAACTAGTTTTGTAAAAAAACTGAGGAATTAATATCCTTACGTGATTAGAATCAAAAGTAGCGAGAATGTACTTAGTACTCGATTACTCTTTGCCCAATTTATATGGAGAATTGGAGACCTGAAATCTGATGCATTAATACTACATGGTAAATGACGATTTCTCAAGTGATAAGTGAACAATGCTATTGCTGAAAAATGTTACATAGGTCACTTGTTTTGAGGTCTGCCTAACTTGTAGCATCAGATTGGTGCTTGAGATTCCATGCAGGATATGAATCACAAAAGTTTAGAAATTAATTTTGCATTTTTTGAATGAATTATATATTTATATGCCCTATGGAATGTCTTTGTATATTGTCATATAAACAATTAATAAATTTAGGATTAAAATAGCAAGTAGGAAGAATGTATATGTCTATTACGTATTACCCAATTTATATAGAGATATGAAGTCTAAGGCATAAACAGTAAATGACGATTACTCAAGTCACATATACAAGGTATTCAGAAGATTTGGGAGGCGAATTCCACATCTTTGGCAATTTTGCCTTTAGTGGGAGAGTGGAGTATTATGGAGGGAGGTTATTTGCTGCAAGTATAGTTTATCTGAGTTGGATTGGGATGAGATTCAATGTAGGCATCCTAGAGTTTAAGTGATTTGACAGGTTATTTGCTCAGTGAGCTATGACTTTTCTTGATGCATTAGATATATGGATAGTAATGGAGAGCGCATACATTTTGACAGGATATAAATACTACTCTGGGGACTAGATATCTGTCATTTTTTTTTGAGTGTTTAATCTAGAAGTTGTGAGAATGGAACCGTCAAGTTGTGGCACCCATTCCTTGGACCATCTCTGCCTAGAATGTTCTCCTAGATTTCAGCATTATTGAGGTTTACTACTAGCCGGGGGCTTAGAAAGGTATGGGTCGATTGGACCCTGAGAAAGCAGTGAAGGCCAGTGAATATAATAGTGGAATATGCCTGTGATCCCTGCCCCCCATAGCCTGTGCTCGTAGTCCAACACCCTTCTCCATGAAACTTGTGCTTCTAAACAAACTAGGAGCACATGATCTAGTATACTCTACGACGTGCCTTGATGTGGCCCTTGACCCCGAGGACCCTGGTCCCACTAGTGCTGGACCTTTGGGACCTCTTCCCCCGATCCCCCCATACAACTCTGTTAGCGGTTCATATTCCATTGCCCTTCTTGCATGCTCGAGTTGGGCCTCAAAGTCGTCATCCTGTTCCACTCTTTCTTCCTAGCAGACAACATAAAATGGGCTGCCAATCTCCACAGTCAATCTTTGTCAGACAATTTCTCTTAGATATCTGGCATCATTGAGATATTGCTAGCAACCTCAATTCCCTTGTGATTGGTTGTTTTCAGAGGTTAGGAGTTGGGGTGATGCCTGAGTTTTATAGGGATCTTTGATATGTTGTCCAAGGTAGGCCCTCAATCTAATTTTTTTTAATTGGATTCACTGTGAACTATCAAGAGAGGCTATAAGAGGATAGTGGCATCGGACCCAGCATTGAGCCGTTAGTTAGTAAATTTAGTCATATGGCGTTGACATTTAATTTTGGATTTGTTATTACTAGTTTCCTTTGCTCTTTGTGGTTGGTTTGATCTTAGATTTATTGAGTTATTACAATTGTAATAAGCGATTCAATGATTTCAATGTATTGTAGATACATATATGATGCAGGAAACTTGATAGAAATATTAAAATCAGGAAGAAAACAAGCCAAACACACATGTTCCACAGCCTAAGGTTTTCTTTCTTTTTTAATTTTGAAAAATCAGTGGAATGACCACTCAAGGGCCCCTTGTACCTCTTAAATAATATTAATTCAATTGTTCAAGGACATTAAATACCCATACAAAGAATAAAATGACCTAGACGTCCTTAATTAATCACAAAATTCATAATTATAATTTTACCCCTATGAATAGTAGCTAGTGAACAATACTCAGTGAATGGTAAATATATAAAGAACCCTAGAAAGAAATCTTACAACTATAATTATAATATACATCCTCAGAAATTGAATAAAAAATAGAAATAAGAATAAATTTGTCCTACATCATTCTCCCCTAGTGTTAAGATGAATTTAGCATCAAAACCACCTTCGTCAACCTTCTTTTTCTTTGTTGGCTCAAATCTTATTTGTGGTAAGAAAGTAATCTTTAAGAAATGGATTCTGGTAATGTATAGTAAGGAATTGGAACATCATCATCATCATAGCCTTTTCTCAATTAATTAGGGTCGGCTACATGAATCCTGGTCCGCCATTCTGTCTATTAAAGGCCATACCCTTGGTGAGGTCAAGTTCCCATATCTTTTCGAACTAGGTCCAATCCCATCCTTTTGGGCCCACCCCTTACCCTTTTCAGTCCTTCCACTTGAACTAACTCGCACCTCCTAACAGGTGATGTACTTGGTCTGCACCACACATGGCTAGCCCACCTAAGTCTACTCTTTCTCATCTCATTGCCTATTGGTGCCACACCTAAATTCTCCCGAATGGATCGTAAAGAATTGAAGAAACAAACTTATCAAAATTTGGCTATCCCTAAACTTGCATTGAAAATTGCATAGGAAACTTCAAACTCAATTTTCTAGCCTTTAGAGGCTCTCGTAACATCTATTCAATTACTCTTTGAAGCCTGGGCCACAATTTGGGTTTATTAGTCGTCCACGCTTCTGCTATGCTATTCTGATTCCAATGCCCTAAATCTCTTGAATGCTCCACCTCTTTGATACCCTTGAGATCTTCAGTGGCCATGATTTTGAGCTGTCCCCCAATTTCCTTCTCTTCATATTCTTCACGAGCAAGATCCTCTTTCAAAACATCTTCATCTTCACCTTGATCGTTATAATAGATTGGATCTTTAAGAGATCATGTTGTTCATTTAACCATATATCGAAGATTGGTGGCAAATCCCAATATGCAACTTGATGATTTTGGATAAAAACTATGTCGAAATCAAGGATGTCCTCCTTCAAATCGAAAACCCTAGAGTCATGTTCCCCACGTCTGGGTCTTATATCACTTTTCTCTGCAGTCGACTTTTCACGTGAGGCACGGAGGTGTACTCGACATCTTCTTGGGGGGAAGATCATTTTCTTGCTCATGAATGATGCTCACAAACTGCTGTGCCAGCTGCTGAACCTGCCTTTTAAGTTCCTCAATTTCTTCCTTTCTGGTATCACGGACTGGATGTGCGAAAATCCCCCTTCCACGACTCCTCTAGGCAGATATTCAACAAAAACTAGCTAAAAACAACAAGATCTAGGCTGATTTGGCAAAACTTGGCCAAGATCAGTGAACCCCAGGCTTAACTGTAGTTTCCCAGCTATGTTGTTGAAGAAACTATGAGCTTTGATACCAATTTGATGCAGGAAGGTTGATAAAAATAGTAAAATCAGCTAGAAAACAAGCCAAACACACACCTCAAGCTAGGGTTTCAGAAGCCTAGGTTTTTTTTTTTTTTTTTAATTCTGAAAAATGATGTGGAGTAACCACTCAAGGGCCCCACATACCTGTTAACTAATGTTCATTCAATTGTTCAAGGACATCAAATGTCCATACAAAGAATAAAATGACCCAAAAGTCCTAAATCAATCACAAAATTCATTAATGATCGAAATCAATCACAAAATTCATTAATGAAAATTAACCTTGTGAATAGTAAATTGTGAATAGTACCCAATGAATAGTAAAGAAAAAATATGAAAAAATCCCAAAATCCATAGAGCACTTAAAAACCTAAAAATAAATCCTAAATACTAAAATTAAAATATAGATCCTTAGAAATTGAATAAAAATTAAATAATAAGAATAATTTTGTCCTGCATCAATATATATGTGCTCAGACACACTCACACACACAAGCATTTTTAAGGCTTAGCAATGCCAAAAATAACATATGATAAAGTAAGAACCCTTTGTGAATGCCTCTTCTTTTCTTTATTTCCCTTATATTTTTTTATGTTGGAGTTTTAAACAAAAGGGTATTTTTTACTCTAATTCAAGATAATGAGGAAAATTTAAAATTTTGAACATCCATCACTCCCCCCATCTGCCTCTCAAAATTTATTAAGTCTTGTCTTTCTTGCACTTCTTATCTCTTTCTCTCTATCATGTTTTTTCCATGTTTCATCACCATTCTTGCTCTCTCTCTCTCTCTCTCTTTCTACACACACACAAAAAAACACACACACACATATATATACACACACATACTGGTGAGTGGCCATGCATTGCATAAAATCCTATGATATTCCCATCCTATAGGCAAAAACGAACATTGTTTTCGCCTATAGGCTCACCACCGTCCGATTGTTTTGGACAGTGGGAAAAAATTGATTGCGTTGGATTTTTGGATAGCAGGGAAAATCGATTGTTTGCAGTCAATTTTTCACGCTAAACCAGAACGGATCTAC